GGAGGGACAGAGGGATGTGGGCAGTGTAAAGCTGGGCCTCTGACACTCTGCACACTGGGCAAGACTCACAGGGGCCATTGTCATAGGGATGTAACTCTGGCTGGCTTCAGAACTTCCTCAGCCTGTGCCAAGGTCTGCACCGGCCCCTGCAGCCACAGAACAGCAGAGTCACAAATGGCCCCTCCCCTCTCTCCTTTAGCCGGTACAGGGGGGAATCGGACTCATTGAGCCAACCTTCCCCCCACCTCAATTTCCACCTTGATAAAATGGTTTTACTATTATTTCTATTTCTGCCTATGGAGGACAAGGCCCCGTCGTGCTTCTCTCTGTAGAGACGCTGAGTAAACAGACCCAACAGCTCACAGTTAGAGCCACGATTTAGGAAACTCTCAACATCCCGTTAGTGTCAAAGGGACCAAAGTGGGTAAAGTTACTTTTATGCCAAAGTCTTTGTACGATCTGGGTCTAGGTTACGACAAAAGGCAGTAAGTGAACGAGACAAACCAACCAGAGTCTGAAAGGTGGGAGGGGATGATGAGGGAAAAGTAAATCTCACTTACAGATTGTCCTGGGATGGTTGTGAAGCTGCAAGGATGCTGGCTCCATTGCTGAGAGATGCCTGACTGAGAGGGAAATGGTTTCAGACCTTTTTATATTAAATACCTGAGTGTGTCTCTGGGCCTCTCTGTCTGTTTCTCTGTCATAATTATAAAACAGTTTCAGAGTGGGGATGCTGTTATAAATATGAAAGTCTGAAATCTCGCCTCTCTTCTCCTTTCTCCCTCCAGACACTCTGCTCTCTGAATTGGAGAGAAAAAGGGGAGAATCATTTGGAGCACACAGACAGGGTGAGTTTGCAGGTGAAGATTGCCTTTAAATTATGAGAAAATTCTAGTGAAAACATCTTCATGAGATTGTAGCTAAAGTTACCAACGAAACTGACAGCAACAATGACACTCATAGTCCCAAAAATAACACATTAAATGGTAAGGAGATCCAAGGGCCAATGTTTCCCCCCCTCCCCCCACTTTTAAAAGTGGGATGACTAGGACACTTTTTAACGTGGGCATAGTTTGGGGGGAGAGGGCCATGTTGCCCCACAAACTGCAAGTCTTGGGCAGATGTGAAGCATCGCAGGTAGTGTCTGTGCTCTTTGGGCAGGGAAGCTGATCAGCTCCTTTCTGTGTAGTGCAGCCTGTGTCCGTGGCACCAACCTCTCCCTGGTGCTGGCCTCCCTCAGTGGCTCCACCCCTGCTCCTCTTTCCCTGAGGCCCTGCCCCCTGGCCAGGTCAGAAGCCAGAACCGGGACACCACCCAGGGAGCCCAGACTGCACTAGGGAGCCCTGGCGCACCCCAGGTAGCGGGGACATGGGCCGGGAGCTGCTCTCAGAACCCCAGACCTTTGTCCAGGGCAAGTGGAGTGTCAGGGGGTCTTCATAGTGTGCCAGTCTCACAGCCTGGCCAGGGGGCAGGGTCTCGGGCAGGGCCACGGAGGGGCGGGGCCACACAAACAGCCCTGACACCACCCTTAGTGCTCAGTTCATGCCCATTCTGATGAACAGAAACACTCTTAACTGATCAGAGAGGTAGCCGTGTTAGTCTGAATCTGTAAAAAGCAACAGAGGGTCCTGTGGCACCTTTAAGACTAACAGAAGTGGGCATTCAACCACGAAAGCTTATGCTCCAATACTTCTGTTAGTCTTAAAGGTGCCACAGGACCCTCTGTTACTCTTAACTGAGTTGCAGCAGGAATGC